GGGTTTGGCTCGGTACTCAGGATTTTTACATACGCTGTTCAGAGCTGCGGTGAGGCTTCACCTCTTCACCCTGCATGACAGGATCCTAAGTTGGCCAGAGCTTTGGGCTGCCTAGGCTGTTTCTGTTGAGTGAGCTCCCTTAAAAAGACCAAAACACTTTTGAACTCAAAAAAGCTATGTTTTATTAGAATAAAAAAAAAAAATCAGCAAAAAAATAAAATCAGCAGAAAAGCTGCACCAAAATACTTGGACAAAATTGAGAGTGATTGTGTAAGACAGTGACTGGGTGAAACTGCGGTGAAGGAAGGATTTATCTGCGGCTCTCTTCCTACCCAATACGTACTTGCAAAAAGAAAGTCTGTCTAAGGCTTGGATGTCTGTTTCCCTGCTGTAGCTATTTTTCTGCCCCAACTTCCATTCCAGAAACTTCTGTTCTGAGCATGTCTAGTGGCTCCTAGAGTAAGAGCAAGCGTTACAAACAAGTAAAATGGATTCTGCCCATCGCCCTCCTGTCCGAGAGGAGGAGAGATGAAGCTTTTGATGTGGGAGGCTGAAATCCTAAGTAGGGCTCTTTTGATTCCTTGTTAAAATGAAGGGCAGTTGCCCATGTAGTCAGCGCTGTTATCTCTGGTTCACGTCAGATGGCTTGTTGTTTGCAAAGAGTGCACTTCAAGCACAAGCTTAAGGTCTCGTTTCTATAAAACGACAACGTAGGCATGTTAGCACAGCCATGTAGCGACTTAGAAATTTTGCATATGTAGGACCCTGCTAAAGAAGCAGCATGAGCTTTTTTCATCACAGCCCCAGCAGTGCAGAAGGTGGGAAGATACTTCAGCTGTATGGTCATCTTTGGTCATTTTTAGATTGACAAAACTTGATGTGGCTCTGGCAAAGTAACAACTGCGTAGTTGCAGGCACGCAGTCATGGAAGAGTGTGGCGTTTTGTTTTACCAACCGGTGCTGAATCTCTGTAAATGTTTGCCCAGCACTCGATTTGGTTTGCATGTGCGCTCTTATAAGTTCCTAACACTATACCTGGATATTGGTGTGTGGTGATGTTTTACAAAATTCCCTGGTTTCAGCGGCCAGGAGGAAGGCATAGCGATCCGTCTTCCGTTTCAGGAGTTGTATTCCTCTTCCATCTGCAGATCCGAACACGAGCCATCTCTGCCAAGGCAATGACCTTGGTGAGCCCGCTGCAGCTGCTTCTGTTCGCCTCCAAGAAAGCCCTGTCCGATGGGGAGCTCGTTCTGGTGGACGACTGGTACGGCCTTGCGTGGTGCTAATGGACGGTCAGGTCTATGGAGGAACGCGCACTGAGGGGAAACAGCTGCTAACACAGACACAAGTATCTTTAGAGCAGGGGTCCTAGAGCAAGCCGTGCGGGACAGATGACTGTGAGGGCATTACCTTTGTTTTGTGTGAGGAAGGGAGGGGTTTGTTTTGGCAGCGCTGTTTTGTGTCGATTATCTACTTAATTTAAAAACATTACACCAGGCAATTTCCGTGAAAACTACTGTATTTTTTTTCCTCTTTAACTGGAACGTGAATAAGCGGTAGTATGCCTTTTGGGCATCCCCCTTCAGAGAGAGGCTAAGGGAACCATGGTTTTAACTCTCAGAAACACAGCTTGAGGAGAGAAATGGTCTTGACAAAATATCATCCAGACCATGTTTTTCTTTCCAGCCGGTAAAATGAAGGTGAATAATTGTTTAAGTAATATTTGTGAGGCTGCCCTGTAGCCTTCAAAATCTTGAGGAGCCCCGTATTTTTGGATTACTTCGTATTTTTGTATAAATGTTCCCCAAAATAGCCTGTGTTTTCAAGCCAATATTTCAAGGAATATTGGTATTACTTGACTCTTCCGCATCTAAAGAGCAAAGTTAAACAGAAGGATAGTAGATGTTTTAACAACGTCAGGTTTTAGGGATCTGACAAATTTGCCTTCTGAATTCCACTTCCCCTCATTAGCAGATTTGAGTCTCAAAGATGAGAACGTGGATTTCTGGCTCAGTGTAAGCAGCGCTCAACGCAAAACCACCTGATGCCTGATGGAACCTGTTTCTGAACAGGTTCGCTCCTGGAAGCAGTGATGCATCTAATGTAACTCTCTTTCCGCTCTAGGATCAAACTGAAGATGTCCCATACCGTAGCTGCCTGCATCACCGCTTTGCGTGCTGCAATGGAGGCTCTCGTTGTGGAAGTAACTAAAGATCCCGAGATCATTAGGCAGCTGGACCCTGTAAACGAGCGAATGTTGAACGTGATCCGTCAGATCTCCAGGCCTTCAGCCGCAGGCATCAACCTCATGGCTGCCAACATCAGGTAGGCTCGGCTCTGTTCGCTTGTGCAGCTGGAGCTCCAGGGAAGGGCACGCGCCGCATCCCTGCGGGAACACGGAGCCAGAACAGAGCAGCTTTGAGCACGCAGCCCCTGCTCGCCCCAGGCAGGGAGGCTACGTCGGCCCGGAGCTCAGGGTGCCAGGAGACTTGTCCAGTGCGGGCAGCACCCTTAGACTCTTGCTGCAGAAGTCTATAGTCGGAGCATATGTAAAACTGTCATGTTCAGAGTCTGATGCAGACAAATTACTGGCTGTTTCCATGGGAAGCACAAAAGGCACCCCGTAATGAAAGGGCTGCTTCCTGACAACACGTTTCATCACTTGTTCCAAAACACAGTGACTTTCAAAGAAAAGATGATCCAAACTTACTCTGGGCAAGCCTACTCATCTCTGTCCCTGGGAATAAAAGTAAATATTTGGCTGCTTTGTTTTCCCCTTGCACCCCTCCGTAGCCCTTTATAGGCTTATTTTCACATTTTATTTCTGAGGCAAAGAAAAATGAACACATCTGTGAGCTGTTAGTAAAAAGATCAAAACAAAGATGCAGCTTAGATACGTACCTCACTGATGTGTGAGGAGCAAAATGAAGATCGCTGCGCTCATACAGATATAGGGCCTGGGCTCCCTACTCGTCTGTGAGACCTGGAGAAGCTGGATTGAGGGGAAAACTTGCTCCCGCATGTAGACCTGGCTGAGGGGATCTGCTCAGGTGGCACTTTAGGCGGTTTCTGGCTGTTCTTTACTGAAGTGAAGGGGGGCAAAAGTGCATCCTGCAAGTATGACTGAGTAAACAGAAAATAGGGGCATATTAACTGGGCCTCTTGGAAATTCATTATTCCTGGGTTTTTACAAAAAGATTGGAATCGGTTATGTCACGTCAAACATATGATGCTTCTCTTCTCCAGATTTGGAGATGGTCCTCGCCCCCCGAAAATGGCTCGCTACAACAATGGAGGCGGCTGCGGCGGCTGGGGAGGTTACCAGCGTGGCTCCGGCTACAGAGGTGGAGGGTACGGTGGCTACAGCTCCTACCGCGGGGGCTCGGGGGGAAGAGGATACCAAGGGAGCCTGGGGGGAGGTTATGGCGGTGGAGGGGGATATAGAGGAGGGGGAGGGTATCGAGGAGCAGGCGGTGGGTACAGAGGGGGCTATGGGGACGCGGGGAGGGGCGGATGGTAGTTGTGGCAGTTCAGTGAAGTCTTCCCACTCCAACAAAAGCGCTTACGTCTTCTCCTTTCCTTTCTTGCCGTTACCAGTCTGTTTGCCGTTTCAGTTGCTTAGAACTAGTACAGCTCTGTACAATACTGTCCCCTTGTTAGGGAATTTACCACACCTTGTGTTATTTTGTTCTTAATAAAGTGTTTGGTTTTCAAGACTTGTATGCTATATTTGCATTTGGGTTATACAGGGTATAAAATGTATTTGGATTTAGATTTTAAACCCATCTGTTGTAAGAGTGGTTTGGCTGCAGGCAGCAGGAGGCATTCTGAGGAAACCTCTTCATAGCTTAAACCCGTTCTCTGCCAAACAAATTTCAAATTACAGACTGTGAACTCAGTGCTGGGTTTTGTTCGGTTTGTTTGTTTGTTCTCCAATAAACTGCAAGAAGCCTTGCTGCAGTAGTTTTCTGTCTGTGGCAGGCAGCGCTTGGTTCCTTCACAGCCAGCCACTGGCCTAGTGCTTGCTGTGTAACTTTTCATGGCACAGCAGCTGAAGAGCTAGCTCTTGCTCTCATACAGATAACACGGGAACCTAGACTACCTTTCTGCAGGACTGAGGTGATGCTGCTAATGTGTGCAGAATCTGAAGTGATCCCCAAGGCGGGAACTGTGCTGTTCCTCAAAGTCAGTATTCATTTACGTTGCTACTCCAAACTATTCACGCTTCATTCTTCCAAATGTATGTGAAAGACACTTATTCTTTAATTAAAAGTCACTGAAACTGTAGCTTGAAGATTTGAGACATTCAAAGCTCTACTGGCTGACTTGTGCTTACCAAAGTATACAGAGGGGGATGGGGGGAAAGCCTTCCAACGAGGCTTTTTTTCCCTCAGCTATCAAAATAGCACCTAGGAAGTGCCCTGGAGCAGGGCTGGTTGGCACCAGGTAACAGCAGGTACAGATTACTCTCGGGTTTTCTACGGTCAGGCTGGCTGTTTTTACTGTTGTGCAGGGACAAGCGTTCGAACAAGATCAGGAAGGTGCTCCAGCCTGAACTACATACGTGTGGGCTTTTTTTTTTTTTTTTTTTTTTTGCCCAAACTGGACTGGCTGCCTTACCATTTGCTAGCATGGCCACAAAAACAGCTGGGCTGGCCTGACAGAGGAGGAGGAAGGTCCTGTCTCTGCATGCACGCTTTGTGCTACAAGGCCTCAGCATCACAGGAGAACGCAATAAGATGGTTGTGGGCACAGCTCTGTACTGAACCGTGTAATAGTTATGTTACCGAGCCTGATGAGGTTAGAACCAAACAGTCCAAACCCTGCCCTCCCCACCACTATTCTGGCGGGAGTGCTTATTCCACTGGAGTCGCAGTTAAAAGAGCTCCACTTACCAGGGGGGAGGAGGAGGCTGTGGTGGCTGCGTAAAGTTTAAAGCATGTCCAAAATTTTGTACGTTCCTAACGAAGAGTTCTTAAACGCTAGGTAAATGTGCAACACTTGTTTCTTTAATCAAAATTGTTAAAGCCAAATGCCACTTGATGCTTAGATGTCTAGCTATGAATTACAGCGATATCTTTGATGTCACCAAGTGTATTAGTATTCATCTCCAAATGTAAATCTTGAATTAATTTGGAAAGTGCATCTTCTTCTGCATCACCTGATGCAGTAAATTCCACAATCCCTTCTGCTGATGTAGATGTCTGCGTAGGCTGAAGAATGGTGACTCCATGGCCACTGTTACTAAAAATGTGATTATTTTTCATCTTAAGTTTGGGGACAGGAACAACCTATTAGGGAATCGAAAGGGATGGACAGTGAAAGATGCATTGAGTGTTAGCCATGTTCTCTTTCCGTATCTATTACATCCAGACACTTGCTTTGCCCTTCGAACGTCATTTTACTACTAATTACTACTGCAAAGCTGGAACTATGCACTATTCAGTGGTTGTAAAGAATGCAATTAGTAACTTCACTAATTGCCTGCAATTAAAAAACTTCACTAATAGACGCCTGCAAGTCTTGAATATGATCTAACATCTGTTAAAGCTTTCCAATTTCCCCTTCTAGTTGTTGCTAGTCTTCAAGAGAACAGCCGGACAGCAGCTCTGGATTATGTCCTGCTATTCCAGTTAAGGTTTTGTTGTTCTGAGCAGGCCCTTTGCTGCAGTTTGCTTTCAGCTGCATAACTATCACTTGCTTTTCCCTGTGTCTAATTTGGTAAGTTTGAGGAGGCAGAATAGGATACCAGGGATTTTTCAAGTACGTGTACAATGTTCTATGAAATTGGCTGAAAATACTTTTACTGGGGTACGTGAATATTCGGACCTAGCTAAAGAAATACCCTTTTTAGACCAAACTTGATGTTTCTCAGGACTACTTACAAAAATGATTCTAAATTGCAACTGTAAAGCTAGCATCTACTATCACTAGTAAAAGACCATAAATTGTTACCTTAATATTAATGCCGCCCAGGCTACGATGTGAGGTCTCACTGGTTCTGATATTATTGCAGTGATGAATTTTGTTACCTTCTAAGATGGCTGTGCTCCCTGGGTACAGCTCAACACCAGCACCCTGTTCGTTAAAACAGATTAAATCCAATTTAATGTTGCTTGTAAGGACTGTTGAGGGGAAAAAAAAAAAAGAAGTTACGCAGAGTACAGCCAAGGGAAATTCTGAAGTTCTGTAGGTCCTATTCCTACATTGCAAGTTGCTGTCGAGGAACAGAACTTTTAAGGGCACAGTTCTGAGAACTGCTCAGATTGCAGGCTGCAAAGGGAGAAGGTGACACTGACTACTTAGCATCTAAAAACTACAGTTCAGGAGATAATTTAAAACTCCAGTGCCTAGATAAAAGTGTCAAGCATGGAAATACTGCTTTACGCTATTCCGGCTGTTTTTGAACATGTAGTCTGTTAGGGCAAGTTAAGCAGGAAAGCAATAATCTTTGCCAACGCTTCCTCTTGCTAGAAATGAATACAGCAGTCTAAACAAGGATTGACATGCTAATGAAGAGCTTAAACAGCCTCGCTACAGAGAACTGAAAATTAGCCATTGAAATGACATGTACGTTTTCACATCTGAGCTTGAAATGAGTTTACTCGGTCAGTAAACTGATCGGTCCTTTGTTTCAAAAAGGCAGCTTGTTGAAACATTCACATTTCTTGTACAACAAATTTAATTATTCAAAATTCAAGAATGAAGTACCTGAGCTCCAGTAATCTCACTGTCTGTGATAGTCAGAGAAGCCCCAGTAAGCACACAGACTCCAGTTCCTTCACACCTTAATACGCAATTTGCTAAAGTCATGTGGCCAGATTCAACAACCACGATACCATCGACTGTCCCCTGCTGTACCAGCGTAAGGTGCGTTAGTTTTATATCTCGGGCTTTGGATACAACGAAACTCTCGTGAGTTGGTTCTGAAATAATCATGGTTTCTTCTGGTTTTCCAGTTCCTGATGGAAAAAGAGTATAGCGGTATCAAAACAATTATATGAAGGAGAACGTATTTGTCAGTGGGCGTCTTAAATTTTTATCTTGCTTGTTTTAAAATGTCTCATGTAATTATTAAAGATGCTACCAACAAATTACAAATTGCAGTTAAACCAAATACTTTAAAGCTTAATGTCTTCTACTGGACCCCATGCTTGCATGCCTGATTGTATGCGCCATGCTGCATTAAATGGAAAGCACTAATGCTGTTCATGTAAACTGTAAGTTTCAAAAGCCTGACAATCGGAACACAAGGGCGTGGGTATAAGCACTGCTGCACTGAAGAGAGAATACATGTCAACTATTGTCTTTGAGTGGCCTGTCTCTTGTGCACAGCCTGCTGGAGTCAGTCACAGACGAAATCTGCGTGTCCACCTTTTAGCGTGCTGTTACAGTAAATTTACAGGCAAGTACTCACTCACATGGCACTTTACATGATGTAGCCCAGTATGAGAACTGAAAAACCTTCTTCAGCTGTAGGCAGCTTTCCACCGACGGAGAGGCATTCACAAGAACTACTCTATGGATCCTTACTTAAAGAAAGGTTAGAAGAACACTAAGGTCGTTTGTAGCATCAGCATTCATGGTCTCCCATGCAGCTCAAGAGAACCATCTCCAGGAAACTTCACAGCTACCCCCAACGTTTCCTCGTGAAAGAAAATCTTTTCTCATAAACAGTTATCTTTATAGAAAGATTCTCCCAATGGAATTATTTAGAACTATTTGTTCTTGATCTGCAGTGCAAGCGTTCAACGTGTGCACATAATATTTATTTTGCCTGATCTGTTCCTGAGAGCATCAACCAAATTAACATTGCAGTTAGTTAAGTGATCTCTTTTCCTGCTTCCACATTAAAAGTGTGGTGAGGAATACTAGGGAAAACCTAATGTCACAGATATGATTTTTATCAAGGTGAGTGGCTTAACGTGCAAGATAGCGATGTCTTAGCTCTCTCTAAAAAGAGAGGCAGTAAGAGTTTAAAAACTACAAAAAAAGATGAAGAGGTGAACACTGCTACTCTGTAACATGTCTGCTCACCCTGAGCATCGGCAAGAGAAGGGATCTGAAAAATGGCTGCCTAAAAGCACTTTCTCAGCAGAGTGAGGAAGAGTAGTTCTAATTCTGAAACATCATCTGTCAACTCAGTGTATGGCCCTGCTGTATGCAGCAAGAAGGCACACTTCATAGGTGCACCCAGGCCCCCACGCCAGGCACCCCAGGCCTTCACTTACTTCTTTTTTTTTTTATTGCCTCGTTCAAGAACTCCTTTGAGTGAAAAAAAAGTGGGTATTTACAAACATTAACAGTTTACGTTCAGGTACCTGCAACAAAGCAAAGCTGGAGAGCTGGGAGGAGAAAAGACGACCCCAGGAGTTCCAGGAATGGGAAAATAAGCAAATTAACGGAAGTTCTAAGCAATGAATGTCAGACTGACGCGTCACTGCCTGCTCCCTCGCCTCCTGGTGATTTTCTCCTAACGCTCGAGAGCTCTGAAAAATTTTCAACGTTGCCTTGTTCTGAGCAGTAACAGGAAGCTGCATTAAACCATCCATGAAATAAATAAGCAGGTACTGAATAAAAATCCGCACCAGCAGCTTTGTGTGAGGCATGAGTTTTTCCAAGGCCTATCATGCAAGTTGCTTGCACAGGGATGCAGAAGTCATGCAATAAGAAGAACCAGCTACTGCCTTAGCATTTGCTGTCTCAGGCAGCTGCTGGCCTCAGTGAAGATCATGCACGGAAAATGGTGGGGAGGGGGGTAAGACTGAAATGCAAGAAGTGGCCTCAGTTTCCTCTATCTGTACCATCACTGGGAACTTTGTTGTACCAGTGAGCACAAACCATCATGTCACAGAATGACCAGCGTTAACAAGTATTTCAGTAAACATTATCACCTGGAGGTAATGCACGTTAAGAAAAGCCACAGCAGAACCGAAGGAGCATTTTTGCATCATTTTTCATGATGCCAACAGGCAGAAAAAAAATTGATAAAGTATAAAATAAAAACTCAGAAGCTGATGTCATACTTTGCAAGATGCAAGATCATATGACGATGAAGGCATCAGCCTGAAAAAGGAAATGTATCCAAGTAAATGTATGTTTTTAAATAATCAGTGCATGCAGGCTTTACATTTGTAAGATGTGATTTACTGATCATGCCTGGAAAGTGTGTTGGTGCTAACTTCTAATTAAGCCTATCACCATATAGTACGGTTAAATGCAGCGCTGACATTGACGTTCTTCTTGGAAACAAACAAACAAGAAAAACTCCACTCCTTTCAAGAGACATCAAGGACAATGGCGTGCTTATTTTAGAGGTGCTATTATTTGTGTTTAATTTATGCTGCTTTAAGAAAAAAAAAATCTATCTCCTAGTCTGCCATGAAAAACAAAACAAATGCATGCAAATTTTCTGTGTCCACCTATCAACAGGGATGAGGAGAACCTACCCTTTCTCAAAGATTACTGGTTTGTTAGCTATTAAAGACTACTGAACTGATTTTTCACTGAATTCCTGTTTGGCCGTATTCAAGTTGCACAATATTTTTCTTCTGCTAATAACCAACTAATCATACCCTGCCATTTATTTTCACACTGGACGTTTTTAATCCAGTTAAAAGCTCTGGTAAGTGTATTTTCCCTAACCTTTTACTAAGAGTCGCTAATCAGGACTGCTTTAGAGCTACAGTTCATAAAGACAGAGGTAGATTATAGACGAACACACTACGAACCTCTAATAACAATGTCTTCAGTTAACATGGATAAGTTTACAGCCTTATATTCTCCTGGGAAAACAACCACGGTGTCTCCACTGTAACAGCTTGCTAAAGCCATGTTCAAACTCTCATGATGCTGAAGTGGAGTGTCCATAGAAAAATCCTTAACCTGTACAGGAAAGAGAGAGCACCACTTCCTAGATTTGAGCAAATTAAAAAAAAAAAAAAAAAGTAAAAGTTTCAAATTTCAGAGCAATTTAAAAATCTTCTGCGCCACTCTGTTTCTTACACTCGCTCGCTTTTGTGAAGCGCGTTTTAGACAGGAGAACTCTTGTTTTGGAAATGGAATCCTGAGTTTCCCCCCAGAACATTCGGAGGATTATACTGAAAAAGTCAGCGTCTGGTGTGTAATTCCTCACTGTTGCTCTTAATTTCTACCGAAGGAATTAGTTGCTCAATGTAACCAGCTTTTGGGGGTGGAGGGGTGCAGGCAGGGGAATGAAAGTTGTCTCAACTGCATCAGCTCTTTTCCCAAGGTCCTACACTCTGCAAGAAAATAAAATTTCTCAGCCACAGTGAACACAAGGAACAATCTGTTTGATGAAAGAGCTCTGTGCCAACTGCCACCATCCTTGGCCCAAAATTCTCACCTAAGGAATGCAAAACAAAAGGTTAAAGATCCAGTCCTATCTATGTGAAAAAAATATTCATTTCAGGAGACTTAGATTCCTTAGGTGTTCCCTTCTGCAGATGAATACCAATCCAGTAGGAAAAAAAGGAAAGGCAAAACATTCCTAAGACCCAAAGACCCAATAGTGATAGGAAAGTAAACGGTCGTCTTTAGGCCTCCTGGAGCTGGGTCCTGAAATCATTCAAGGACTTACCCGTATTTGATTGCCATATAATGCCTACATAAGTAGGCTACGGCAATGCTTCCAGCGATCGCTTAGTGAAGCGGATCTTTCACCCCCAAGCATACAGCTCTGCCTTACATCAAAGAGAAGTCATTATAGACTTTTACCAGCAAGAACAGTATCTCACTTACAGAATCACAGCAGGGGCTACTTAAGTGCCCTGGATAGATCTGAGGGATGGGTAGGTAAAGTAGAAAGCTATTCAAACTTCTCTTCTTCACTCACCTTTTATGACAAGGGGAAAAATAAGTTAGCCTACCTATCCACAAAACTCAGCAATAAATATCTGCTTTAACTGATTTGCAGAGAATGCTTTTGCACAATAACAGAACTGAGGATGCAGTCACCCTAAGTTATTCATGAGAATAACTCTGCCAGTGGATACTGTTCATGAACTATGTATTTATATATATATGCAAATTCCATTACTGCTGATTAGAAGATGCTTTCACGGTCATACCTGAAAGGAACAAAGGTCTCCGTGAATAATCCTACTAGGAGGTAGTCATGTCTCCTGTGTCAATTGATCTTGGCTTTGTTTTGCATAGTTTTTCTCACTCATACACAGTTTGAATAAGGAAAAAGTTCCCCTTACCATTTCAGCTGTCATTGCTTTAGCTACAGTATGAGTTACAGTCTTCCCATCATCTCTGTACCCTTTCCTGCGCCTTAGTATCCTTGGGGTCAGAGGTCCATGGGCTCTGAAATTTAGAAGAAATCTGTGCACTACAGTTAAATTTTAAGCAAAGTATTTCCAACGCATGTGAACAATGACTTAAAGTTATGCTAAATCTATTACTGCATTGAAGAGGGGCGTGTATATAAGTCCATGCAATATCCTCAACGACAGGGATACCAGGAACGTTCAGCTTCACAAAAAACTCACGGCACTGAGAATTTTTAAAAAAAAAAAAAAAAAAGCACCATCTTCAGTATTTCCATTTTGTTTAGGCCAAAATCATTTACCACTCAAAACCACCTATGTGACACACCCAAATCCTCAAAATAAACTTTAGATTGGCTAAATGTTAAGGTTCTGGGCTTTGACTCACATTTGAAAAGAACCGCTGAATTCTAAACAGTGCTATTTATTCTCATGCAGCCACTCTTATAACTTTTGGTAGACAGACTAATACAGACAGGGCCAAAACTGCTTTGATGAAATTTAAGCATCCTGTAACTTAAACCAACATTTCAGGGTTTTTTTTTTGACTACATAATCTATTTACTATGCCAAAATGACTGTTAATTAATACATTTCAAGACACTGATCTTCAGTCACTGGTACAGTCTGCTTTTCACAACTTGCAGCCAAATCAGTGATTCCCAAGTTGTAGCATACTTTGCACTCTAGATAGTAGCTGTGAAATCCAATAACCTTCTGTCTTTCCGTCACATCTAGCAGCAGGCCAATATACAACTGTTCCACTGCTAAGAGATACTGTCAGCCCAATGACAGATATGCAGTTGGTCTATAGATTCTGAAGTTACTGCAGACAGGGAGGTGGATTTATGATAATTATATGCTTTTTACATAGCAGTGCTGTTTCGTTCATTGCGTGGACAAAGCTTCCAATAAGTGGCATTTCTGAAGGTGTTTTCTACATGTATTTACTTATATACTTATCCTTCTACATATATATACGTATATACTTATCCTTCACCTTTTATCCCATCCCTTTGCAGGCCTGATCAGTTCTGGAATTTCGCGGTGAGAAAGAATTTGAGGCTTTAGTATCATCCAAACTCTTGATGCGGGTACTGTATAAGCATGACCTACAGGATACTCTTAGAGCAGAAAACTGGGAGAAATTCCCAGTGATGCAGTATTATCCAAGCCAGTGTTATAAACTTTTTTTTTTTTAATCTTTCAGTGACTCATAAATCTGGCAGTGTTTGAAGTACAAGCTTTGCTAGTACAATATAAGCATCTGTGCTAGGTGGAAGGATAGAATGTGACGTTAAAAGTTCTGCTAATCCAACAGAAGATTATCTGAAGATGAATATAAGAAACTGGAGAGGACGAAAGAATCTGTAAATACCAGGTGCTGATCGGAGCTCAATAGTCTCAGGACAGCCAAAGACCATGCATATAAAAGTTAGAATTAAAATGGAGAATGTTATCTAAAAATGCAAGGATATATTATAATACAAAGTAAAATTTTTTACTCTTTATTATACTGTACCCGATACCAAAGGGAATTTTTTTTGCCCACTGTGCTTCTGCCCCACCACTCCTCCTAAGATATAAAGTATTTCTGGTCGTGACTGCTTCTGGTACATGATCACTCGAGTCACAATTAAGGGATTTATATGGTACATGAGAAAAAAGAATTTTCCCTCTGATTCTGCCAGATTTTCTATGTAATTCTAGACAGATGATTTAATCCAGTTTCACGTATTATTTGTACACCCTTTATACTCTGTGTGCTATGTTTAAGGCATCTGCAAATTGGCCCATGGATACGCAGGCAATGAAAACTACGGTTTCAAAGTAGTTACAAATTGCTAAATAGCCTGGAAAACAGGCTCCTGGCTTCCCAAGTATACAACCCAAAGCAATCTCCTCCCAGCCCCCCCCTCCATCAAACAATTTTGATCTTAATCCTTACTTCTAAAATGGTGACAATAGCACTCTGCTCCCTAGGAACGCTGGAATAATTCATTCATTATTTTTCATGATGAACCAACATACTGTCATCCAAACACTATTAAAAGACCATGCTAAAAACGTGAAATCTACTTAGTGATGGATGGAGTGTATACCCTTATTTATAATAAGACAGATTAAATGAGCATTTGTTAATAAATCAACCGTGCACAGAGTTAGTGCCACTCAGCCTCTGCATTAAAAAAAGCAGAGGTCCAATTCAAAAATGTAACTGTTTTACGGACACCAGAACCAATGAAACATGGTTTGCTCTGGAACTGCATTTTCAGATGTATTGAATTTCACACCTTTAAAGTATGCAAGCTCACTATGTCTAGTTATCTGCCTGTTTTCACTGTTTAAACTCATGGAAACCTACCTACCTGTGAAGCTCAGCCCTTGAGCAAGTTTTACTGAAATCTGACATCAATTTCAGTAGTACATGAAGAAGAGTGATGGACAGACAGTCCCAGGAGTTGCTTCCTTAGGAGGAGGTTCAAAAATAGCATGTGATCATGCCTGATCAGGACTACTGCAATGCAATATGGCAGTTGCACTTCCCTAGAATTGTGACGTTTTTAAACGGTTGAGTTTGCAATCTTAACCTCATTTAATTTTGCTTATTTACGTAGTGCGAATCCATACACACACGCTCTCTTGAAACGTAGTATAGTTCTGAACCTGCCAATTGATGAGAATACTCCAGTCCTTACTCCAACAAGAGAGGAGATACTAGAGACTTAAACGTTACCTACACGTTTACCTAAACGTTACAGTAGCTGTACAAGAAAGGGCAATAGCATCATGCTTTACTTCTGTGTCATAATGCCACAAACAACAAGTATGAAACTTTTAAATTTTCTAATTTATAACCACAGCACTTGTTAAAAAAAACAGCTTTTCGAAGATAACAGGCAACAACCACACCTTGGAATAGGTTTTGTTTGGAATTTGCAAGTAGCTAATAACCTAGAAGCGTTACCTGAGACGTAGGTCCTCCCATATCTTCAGCAATCCACACAGCATTACTAGTTCATAGTACTTTTTCCAACACTCAACAACTTCTTCTTCTGTGGGTTCTTCTTCAATGTTACTTTGATACTGAATCAATTCCAAACGCAAGATTTTATACTTTTCCAGATGTTTTTTGAAACGGTGACCCACTGGAGCAGGAATAGTTCCGTTCTGAATATCACACCAACTTTAAAAAGCAAGAAGTAAACAAGAGGAAGAACGCTTTACAACAAGAACTCTGGACATTTTTTTTTCTTTTGATAAGATACTTACAGGTTAATTCTCTCTTCTACCAGAGCTGAGTACGTCTCACAACTTTCATCACCATCCCAGTCCCTCCAAATGAAATCGTAGAAGAATCTGTAGAGTATATTCACATGACAATATGTCAGTGGATACAGCAGCAGTAGAGAGCAGGAGGACTTTTTATTTTTTTCCTTCTGAGAAACTAGTCATAACTTTCCACCGAAATATTCTCAAACCACAAAACCAGGACTCTACATATATATATATAAAAAACACTGCAATCTAGTTTCCTGCAAGAAAAACCTGCTTAATTCTACATCTCTATTTCTCTTTTGCCAACTTCAAGTACCTAGAAAGAGAAAGTTTCCATGGCGTATTTGTAAATTTATATGGCTGTCAAAAAGGGTAAGAGTACTAACCAAACTGTTTTTCATGGAAATGGGCATGGAGTTCATAACACACATCCAGTGGATTATTATTCACCTTCCAATACCAGAAACATCTTTGGGGTGAAGCGTGCGTGTAAGATACAAGGAAAGAAATACAACCCCCAAATGCTTTCCCACTAGCTTCAAAACATATTGCTGTGAACTTAACCTATCTCCCCAGACAATGTCACAAAAGAAGACAGCAAAAGATAAATTCTGCTCCCCATGAAGATTAGACAACTCTAGGAGGACAGTTTTCTTTTACATATTCACATGTTATATAGCACATGAAAATACAGCTGACATGAAAACAAGATCTGCTAGGCAATCCCAGAATTCTTTGTGGGGGACATAATGGAACTGTTTCATGGCTGATCAATGCCTATGTTGATCCTTTTAGGGGTTTAAAAAAAAGCGAGAAATTCTAAAATAATTTTCCTAATATCAGAAGGATTGCAAATAATGTAATCAGGTGAGATAAAATTCTGGCTTAACTATCATCTACAGTGGTGGGGGGGGGGAAGGGGAAGAGTAGGAAGCACTTGAAGACAATAAACTTTACCTGGTTTTCTGCAGAATATAACTGATAGCATGCAAAATAAGCAAAACTCCCTCTCTCAAAAAGATTTTGAGATTAGGATGCTGATGTTTCAGGTAATCGCCTGATAACATCCCCACAGAGATAAAGCTTAAGGGAATTAGAAAACCTTAAGCCATTGCAAAAACAATGACAGAAGCAGAAGGAAACGGCTACTCAACTCATAATATGAAAGCTAACCGTAATAATCAAAACAGTTTGGGTCTCTTCTTAGGAGAAGCTGAATTATGAGCGTTATAGTAAATCTTTGTTTGCGAAACATTAGATTTTGAGTTATCCAACAATTCTATGAGGATTTAATCAGAATCTCTTGGAATGCCCCCACCTTTAAAAAAACAAAAACAAAAGAAAACAAACAAAAAATCCCAGAGCATGTGTAGATTTATGCGTGAAAGGCCAAATGTTTATTGCAAGAGCCGTAGGTCTGAGACCTATCTCATTTGAGCTAACAGTCTCAAAACAGATAGGACAACCCCAAATTAATGAACTAATTTTTGCGATTCTCTAGTTTGTAACCTAAATCTTGAAGAGACAGGGGAGAGCTTTAAAACACCCACCCACACATACATACAGCACACACACCCGAATTATGTGGATCATTTAGGACAAGTGATGTTGGGAAAACAGATGAGCAGTAGCACCGGTGTTTACTGTATGACCTTTTACAGCTGCAATAAAATTCCTTAGTGCTAGTACAGACATTTAGATTGGCTAGTGGAGCTGGCAGGCTGCTTGCACGAATAGCCAGAAACTCAACAAAACTTCTGGAACAGAGTTTGGTCTAGCTCAACATTTGGCCAAGGCAGCAGTCTACCACAAAAGAATAGAGAGGTGGGGAAGAGGGGGAAAAATCACACCTCTGTCTGTGGAAGCCAGTTTTTCCAGACCACTCTAGTAGGAGTGGTGCACTTTTATTAGCCTGCCTGCGCCAATCAAAGCTGGGCTGCTCTACTACACCGATAAAGAAGAAAATGAGCAAGTGCTACGAAAAAGCAGACTGCGTTATGCCACACTGACCAAAAAGAACAGACAGAAAATAGACACCAGTGTCCCAGCAGTAAGAGACTAGCAACTACATCCTGCACAAATAACGGCCCTCCCACAACTGACAGAAAGCAGTGGGAAATGAAGAGCATCAGCGATATCTTGCTGAGAAAGCTCGGCGCATACAGCAGGTGCACCATGCGGCAGGAACGTGGAACAGGAAACTCTGTTGACATCCTTCTACTTTCACTTGCTCTTCTCGAGTAAGAAGTAGGGAGTACTGGCTCCTACATTATATGAAGACATATGTGACTGGGACGAAAGAAAGAAACTTCCATAATAGATAGAGCTATATGGTCAGTTTAAGACAAAGTGTGCCCATTGCTGCTGCTCCTGAATAGCCTGAGAACTCTGGCCACGCTTTTCTGCTAATACGGTTCCGGTGAGTTTTCAATTAGATTAGCTCCCCAACCCATAAGGTTGCAGACACAGCAGAAGCAATGGGAATATACGGCTGGGACAAGGCGGAACTGTGCTGTTCAATGACAGCCTCAGTTAGACAGGCTTAAACTGATTGCTAAACCTCATAGCAAGGTTCCTTTGATGTATAATCTGGTTCACATCTCCTGCATTTAATATTAATCATATCTGTGATATTTCCTGGAAAGGACGCTTTTGTGAAGTGGTACGGGTTTCTACTCTAAAATAATTTCAGTCCTACCTGGTGGCATCAAAGAAAAAAGGAGAAGCCAACTCAGCAGAAAAAGTGCCTGTCAAAGAGGTCACTACAAAGTCTCCAACTCTTTGAGCCAATGCTAAGCGCTGGCACTTGAGAGGCAATCAATCAACTTTGTGAGAATCTCTAATGTGACGGTACTGCATTGTGAAGCAGCATGGTACTGTGAAGCATAGCCGTTACAGAAGTCTGCTTCGGAAGGGCTTTCTCATTTCTCATAGGAGCTTCTGTGTTCACAAGCTTACAGTGCTAACAGATCACAAAGCATCTGGCACCCACAGGAAGAAATGAATGCTAGCACATTAGACAGAAGTTGAAGGAGCAACACAGACTGTTCTCTTTAATGTAAATTAGGACAAATAACGCAGAAAGATATTCATCTGCATATGCAAATGATGATGGCAATACTTTTTAAGCAGTCATCAATCAATGGAAGAATCAGAGCTAAATTCTAGCTGTAATAATCTGTTTGTTCCCACCTCTCAGAGGGTACAGCCCCGTACACAGCAACAACCAACCCACCAACGCTAAACTTACTAACAAAGCTGAAAAAGGTGATGTTATGTTGGTTTGGAAGCAATAAGTTTGAGTGAATTTGTTTGTAAAGAGATCCTGCAGGCTCACTTTTGGCAATAACCGTGCAACCTTGAAAATACACTGTGCAAATGACTGTTACCATTCTCTGCTGGGAGTCACATGTTCACTGGGTTCATCTAATTACATGCTTATGTGGCCCTCAGCATTACTGCAAGCACCTAACCTGCAATTAAGGCTCTGCAGATTTTTCAAGTAGCTAATATTATGTAAAATAAAAAAAAAAAAGTCAAAACATTATGAGAAAAGTCTTCTCAGTAATTAGACTGCTGTTTTGTAATCTTTATTCAAAGGGTAAGTGAGGCACCAAAAATGAAGCAAAACAAATCAACAGATGAAACGAAAAAACATTTTCCTGTTTTCAAACTCTCGAGAGTTGAGATTATGGTTTCTTTTTATTCCCTAACTCAGAACAAAGTCAAAAGCTAAATTTTTCAAAACTCAGAACAAGAGTTTTATCTTTCAGTCTTCTAGACTGCATTTGCTTCATCAAGTTTTTAAACGATGCAATCTTAAAATTTTTCCCCAAAAAATCTTTGAGAAGAATGTAGATAATCATTGACTTATAAGTGTCACTTTGAAAGTAACCCTGGGAACAAAGCCAATTTTGCAATTCCCTTTTTCTCCCCAAGTGGTTCTCAGTCAAGAGAGTCACGGAATCCATAGTAATAGCGCTTAGCTGACACTTTTAACCAAAAAACGTTCAAAAATGTCACGTCACCTCTCAAGACGGAGTGCTATAGCCCTAGAAAGGCCATGCACTTAAAGAAATAAAACAAAAAGGAACAATCTTGAAGTAAAAGGAAAAAGGTAGGGGGGAGCTGCTTGAGTGATGAGACTAAATACCGGACGTTTATGTAGAGCCAAGGACGTGGGAACGAGAACCTGTTTGACACTTCTAGGCTAGGTCAAGTCAGTGAAACAAGTTTCCTAGAAATGCAACGTGGATTTTCTCCAAATGCATTTTCAGTGTTACCACATCTTAGATCCACATTTTCTTTGTGATTCATCTTACACTGTTATCAAAACAAAGTAACCTTTCCAATATTTCTGCTAGAGATACAGCTCCTCAGTTAAAGTTCTATCAGCTGTGAATGGTAAAATAGTGCAAAATACGCTAAATACCTCACAACTTCCAAAGCCTGAGCGATTTCAAATACAGCATTGTCCTGTCCCTCTACAGGGTACACTTCCAGCAAAGGTACGCAATGGTCCAAATCCTCCAAAATGTTATCAACCAATTCTCTTGGCATATTCGCAATATTAGAGGAAAATGGTTCAGCAACAGATACAGAGGCTTTGAGCTGAGATGATGAACTCCGAGGTGGCTTCCAAGTAACCTAAATTAGACAAAAGGCTACATATATCCGTATCTCTTTACATTAAATAGGGGTATTTGTATGATCTTGCAAGTTGACTCAAAGTTTTTTTTTTTTTTAAAAACAAATTCTGAAAGTTCCGCATACAAAAATGGTCTACAATATTAAACTGAAAGCACAAACATTCATCTGTGTGAATAGCACCTTATCTTCTTGTAATTCTTTCCTAGCAGAATATTGGAGTCATTTGCAGGCATACCTTAAAAATAATGGCTACATCAGGTAGCTATAGTAACCAGTATCTACAGGTAGGCTACAAAAGCATATGTAAGCTGTCCCAAATGCTGGTTTCTGAATTTATATTTTCAAAGGATGGTTATTTTACCTACTGCTTGTGACTCATTTATTCAAAGTTGTCTAGACAATGTAAACAGCTTATTTAGCTTTTCCACACTAAATAACTTGTCTTAGTTGCTTCCAACTTTGATGAAGCTTCATTTTCAGATTGAAACTTTCCAGGTCCAGTTTCTATGAAGGTGATCTTCAAAAAAGTCTGAATGGAAATTCTCAGAAACAAACCAAAGTTGGAAGAGTTACTGTAAAGTTAAATATGGACTGAGGTTTATTTTGTTCTTCTAAAGACGCTCCCAGTAAATGATCTTGGTCAGAACAGTTTAGCAAAGTGTAGTCAGAAAGTTTAGCAAAGCCAGAGCTATAAAGCTGACTGTGTAGAAAGCCATCTGTAAGGAGGACTTAAGAATCACTATAGATAAGTGAACAAAAAGATCTGAACGCATGGTGGCTGCAAAGACACAATATGTATAAAACACTCGTATTATTTCTGCATATGGTAATGGAAAACTTACTTCTAAAATACATCCAATTTTCATGTCTAGCATTTTTATAGTGTTAAAAATTTGGAGAACGTTCAGAGAGATCACAAAATATTCAAGGCTGAAATATGTCTAATGAAAAGACTTCAGCCAATTTAGCTTATCTAAAAGAAGACTGAGAACTCGATCTTGAGCTGAAAGTAGTTACCTAACGTAAGTCTTAAGAGAGAAGGTTAGTTTTCTTTCTAAGAAAAAAAAAAAAAAAGTCTCCTTTAATCACAACATGCTCTGCTTAGTAATGCTCCTTTTACCCCACGGAAAGGCAACTTCCTTCACTGCAAGAGACCCTGGGTGAAATTCTGCTATATATTAAATACAGTATATAGGTCATTAGCCTGCTGATTCTAAAATTAGTTTGTATGAATCAAGTACATCAGAGCTCAAGATAAGAGACAACCAGAAAAGTTACCTCAACAAGTATTCCAACAGAGGGTATAATTAAATCTTCTGAATTGACAAAGAAAAGCTCTGGATTAGTCTTCCAGATTCCAAGCCAGTTGTTTGCTTTCATCTTCAGTTTTTCCAAAAGGTATTTGCTCAGTGCATCATCGGCATCCTCTGCCTATTTTAAAAATTAAAGATGAAAGATCTACATTACCCCCATGTTATCTAAGAAAAGTTAATGGACAAAGTCAAAAAGATAAAAAAATCTGTATCCAGATGATATATATCACCACCTTAATGCAACATGAAAACAGTTGCAGTTTCTATGGCTTAGCGTATCTAGTTAGTGCACTAGCTGCCTTCCCAAACTACTCATTAGCTGGCCTACTTATATACATATCTTCTTTTGGTATGTTGTTTTATTAACCAGATGTTTCTGTTTCAAGATGAGGTTCTGCCTCTGGACTTGACTGCTCCAGGACTGAACATTCCTAACAAGCACGTTCATGTTTTTTTGTGCCATTCCTACTAATTAATTCTTCAAAACAGCCATTTACTGGGCATTTCAAACTCCACAAGTGCCAGGAAATGTGAGAAAGCCCAGGAAGTAAGTGATGATGTACAAATACAGAAATGATAACATACTTGGAATAATGATTATGGCACTATGCAGCACCACAATTTGAAAGTATGTTCCAATTCAGATTGGGACAACAACAGAAGAGACTGCTGGCTATCT